TGCAGGCAAAAATGCATGGCTAATGGTGATGGCTATGTTGAAAAATGGTTTTGTTTTGTTTTGTTTTGTTTTTTGTAGCTTAGAATTTGTTCTAGCAAATAGAGTTATTCTGCTCTTTGTATCTGTAGTTTCCATTGAGGTAAATAGGAGGTACTACTTTTGGAGCAATTTACATATTTCTGCACACAGTCTTTGCTTCACATCCTCCTGCATGGAATACCATGACCAAGCTCAGTATATATCCTGCATTAGTTCTGACTATGCATGTTTAGAGAGTTATTTGAGCACGCTTTGAGTTCTGTCTTGCAGTTCTCAGGTATCAGAAAAATGATAGGTCATCTTGCAGTTCTTTTCGCAGCTTTTGCTGTAGTGCTAAAAATATGGGTGCAGTGTTTTAGCCTGTACTGATTTAACATATTTCTGTCATTCCCCAGAGGTTTACTCTTGAGTTAACTGTAGGACAAGTCATTTCAGTCATTTATGCCAAGATTTTAAGTACTCCACTTTTCTATTCAACTGTGGTAAAGATTTACATGCTTATTCCAGGGAGAAGAGGCACTGCATTGTTTGAGGCTTCTAGTGGATAAGAAGAAGAGTACGATGTCCTGTGGCCATTTGCAAAATAAGGCTTTAGAGCCAGATACAGGTGAATAATAGCACAAGTGAATCATTCCATTTAACCCCCATGGAAGCATCCATTAGAATGGCAAGACCATCAGCTGTAAGTTTGTACAGTCTGTCTTGTTCTGAGGCTGATCTGTTGTGTTTGCTTTGCACTTCAATAAATGCTTCTGTTTTGCTAGGCTAATTTTTCAGCTCACCAAAAGATTAAAAAAAATAAATAGAAAATTCTTATTTTGCTTTATTTTTGTTTGGTTTATTGTTGTTTGTTTGTTTTTCCCTTTTAGAAGAAGGAAAGGTAAGAGCCCATGTGATTAATCTTTTCAAATTGGACTTTACAGTAGAATTCTTAGAAGGTTTTAAAGAGAATCACTGATTTTTGTTTAGGAAAAATAATTTTCTCCCTTGAAACAATTGATAAATTTAAACAGAGAGAAAAGTCAAATAGAAGTAATGATTGGTCCAAGAATGATGAAGTTGCTTTGGACCTGGAGTCGGTAAAGAACATAGTATTATTTTCCTGGTTGACTGGCTTGTCTCAAACAAGTTGTTCTTCTGACTGTCCCTAAAAACAGCCACGCTTTCAGACTATTGTTTACTCCCCTCAGATTTCCACACCAGCATTCAGTTGCTGTGATTGTATCTTTCTCAGTGCAGTCAGTGACTCTATCTTGTTCAAAGAAAAGATCTTATTTTTTCTGTGCTGTTACAAAGTCCATGGGAATCAGGAATGTAGTCAGTCCTCTGCCATTTGATATCTATAAATCATGCGAAAACACATTTTTAAAGATCTCCTTTAGCAGTCAGGGTGTAAGTAGATTTTCTACTTAGGTTGAGTCACAACCCTACAGTGGGTTGCAAGGCATGGCACACCCATGTGGAGAAGTGTGACTCATGACTGGCCAACTGCATAGATACGTGATGGGACTGGGCTAAGGCAAGCCATGTATACATGCTCCTGGTTGAATCACAACACTATAGCTTTTGTCCAGATTGGAAACACTGGGGAGAATCTGTGGCACCTTGCACAGGTGTGAGTTGCTGGTAGGATAGCAGAAAAATGGGTGGCAGGTGCATCCAGCAGGAACTCATGTCTCTACTGAATCAACAAGTCAGACAAAAATCTGTTGAAAGAACAAAATGAAACCTAGGTTACTCAAGAAGGCATAAAACATGATCATTTTTAGCAGTAAAATCTGCAAATCACGGTGCTAGTTGTAGTGTTTTCCAGCTAATGGCAATCTCAACAGGCTTCTGTATGTGCATGTGGTACATGTGTTGGCCAATTAAAAAGTATGTTGTATAATGTAATAAAAATTCAAGAGAACAATATTGTAGAAAACAAGAACTGTCTAGGCTACCTACAAAAAATACAGTACCAGTAAAACAACAATATTTAGTTAATGTATGGTCAAAAATGGACAAATGACCATTAGTTAGCAAACAACTTTGTCACTCTCTTCTGCATGCCTTTTTCAGGCTCAGTCTGTGCTGCCTCTTTCTGAAACCTGTCAAACAACATGTTTACTGCAAGTTTTGTGCAAACACTAAACATTTTTGCAAAACTAACTTGTCACAGGGTAGGAAGACAGGCTCCATTCACGATCAGTAAACACTTCAAATTTAAGAGGAGACGAACAGAGCTGGTGTCCAATGTTCATGAGGAAGAGATGTTATGAGTACACTTAGCAGTATCTCTGGATCTGTGTTGTTCACTGCTGTCACTGATGACAGAGGAAAAGAAGTGACAAAGCCTGTGTATGATCCTATTTCAAATCACACAGTAGAACAGCCGACAGCACTGAACAATGCAAAGTAATACAATGGAGGTGGAATAATCTTAATGATCTGTAACAGAACAATTAATCACTACCACTTTGAACATATCTTTTCAAATCACTGGGTGGTACTCAGCAGTTTTCAAAAAGGCAAGTGAGATGAGGGTAAAGGTACAATTAGGGAAATATCTCAAACTATCGCTTGATCAAATATCAATCATTCCGTACTAACCATTACATTACTCAGTGCAAAGGCCTATGTTATTTGTGTATACATAAAGCTGTTCTGATGATGATGACTATGTTTGTGACGCAATTGAAGGCATATTGTTAAAAATAAAAATGTGAAATGAACACTTTCATTTTTTACTGCTACGTAACTGGAACATTTCCACACTTGCTAACATGCTAACTAGATTCTGTTTTAGCAGGATTCTCTTGGATGTTTCTTAAAAGTCTATCAGTTTTATTGTAGTACTTAATAATGTGTTAGCCAACAAATCCTAGATCTTTAGAAAAGCAGTATAATATAATAATAAAAGCACGTATGCCAGGATATGCACAAATACAATGGTCTGCTGATAATACATTTTTCTGATAACCTACTCCTTTATTTTGATTCAGTTTGGAGAGATTTACATTTCATTAATGTCTTTACTGACTTAGCAATGTAGCCCTTAACTTGTTTACTTGTTTTCACAATTATTTCTTGTTTTTTGTTTTTTGTTTTTTTTTTAAAGGGCACATTTGCTGATGCTAAATACAGCCCCTCTGTTTGTGATTACATATTCTGTTGAATATATAGATCCTTGTACAGAAAACTTTTCTTTTTATGTATTCTGTTACATGTGAATTGTGGTTTTTCTAATGAAAATACTTTAATAAAAATATCAAATTGCAAAATATCTCTTGAAAAAGGAAGGTGCATGGTCTCCAGCTTTGCTTCCCTGGAGTGATAAAAATGGATCTTCTTGGCATCACTTCCACTGTGCAAATCAATTAATTTTGCTGCAGTTTCTGTCAAATGAACCCTAACAGAGCTTGCCATAGCAGTTTAAGATGCCTTCAGCAATTTATCTTTGCACCAGGGATGAGAAAGCATAGCGAAGGACCAGAGCTAGCTGGCACAGCATGTGTGCTGTATGAACTAGTATCTTGGTTTCCCCTCTATTGGCTGATGCATGAAATGTGAATTGTAGGAACTGGAGGCAGCCACTGACACCTGCATTGCTCTGGGGCAGCTATGCTTGATGAATGTGTGGGAGAGGCAGCTGGGATGGCAGTGCCTTAAATAAATGAAAGTTTTCTGAAGAAATTTGGTGTGAATCTGGCCTCTGAGTAGCAGGATGATGGTGATCTCACTGCTGTAGAGGAGTTCATTTTGCTCCCACTTTTAATGTCAGTGTACTTGAGAGAAGATGCACCTATTTCTAGGTGCTAAAGAGGATGCAAGGAATTGGAAAAAGCAGTAGCAAATAGAGACACAAGACAGAAAAAATAAAATTGCAGTCTCTACAAGGTAGAGCAGAAGGACATGGCACTGAATGAATGATCAGAACATGGTATGACTTTATCACAGCTAAATGATGTTATCCTAGCTCATTAGTTTTCTCCAGAAAGAGAACTGTTTTTCTGTGTTACAAGAGTTTGGCAACACTATGCTATCAATACAAGTTGGGGGACAAAAGGACAGAGCACAGCCTTTCTGAAAAGGACTTGGGGGTACTGCTGGATGGGAAGCTGGAAATGAGCCAGCAATGTGACCCTGCAGCCCAGAAAGTCAACCATATCCTGGGTTGCATCTAAAGAAGTGAGTCCAGCAGGGCAAGGGAGGTGATCCTGTCCCTCTACTCTGCGCTGGTGAGGCCTCACCTGGAGTACTGCATCCAGAGGTGGAGTCCTCAGTACAGGACAGACATAGACCTGTTGGAGCACATCCAGAGGAGGGCCGCAGAAATGATCCAAGCGATGGAACACCTCGCCCGTGAGGACAGGCTGAGAGAGCTGGGGCTGTTCAGGCTGTAGGAGAGAAGGCTCCCAGCAGAGTGAAGAGTGACTTTTCCATGTCTAAAAGGGGTCTATAAGAAAGTGGACAGACTTTAGCAGGAACCACTGTGATAGGACAAGGGAAATGGTTTCAAACTAAAACAGAGCAGATTTAGATTGGATATAAATTAGTTTTTTACACTGAGGGTAGTGAGGCATTGGAACAGGTTGCCTAGTGATGTGGTGGATGCTCTGTCCCTGCAGACATCAAGGTCAGGCTGGATGGGGCTCTGAGCACTCTGATTCAGCTGTAGGTGTCCCTGCTCATTGTATGGGGATTGAACTAGATGGCCTTTAAAGGTCCCTTCCAACTCAATTCTATGATTCTATGATCTTTGTGGGCCCCTTCCAGCTCGGGGTATTTTATCATTCAGCGATTTGCAGGTGACACCAGTCTGACTGTAACCAACGAGGCAGGCAGCCTAAACGCCCGCCTTCTCATCACACAGCACCGCACCGCCACCGCGTGTAGCAAACCGCGCGCGCAGGGAGGGGGGGTCCTGACTCCCGCTGCTCCTCCTCTTCCCCACTGCCGACCGGGCGGGGCTCAGCCGCGTAATCATCGCCGTCGCCCCGTCCTCGGCGCCGGGCGGTTCTTGTGCCTGCGTCTTCCGGCTGTAGAGAGCGGCCGTGGGAGCGGGTGAGTGGCGGAGCCTGGCGGCGGTGGCGGGCTGGGCGTCGCATCGGCACCCCGTGCCGGTTCCTGGGCGCCCGGCCGAGGGGAGCGCTCTGTGGGAGGGAGGTTGGCACGCGGAGCGCCGCGGTGAAGCCGGGCTGCTCCCAGCGGCGGCTGCTGGGCTGTGCGGGCAGCGGGCGGGTCGGCCGCCGGGTCGCCATCTTCTTTAAACGTTAGTACCTAAATCGACAGAGTATAGGCGGTACCGGGGGAAGGAATTTCAAGCTGATGTGAATTCGGAGAGCTAAAAGTTACAGGAGGAAAAAAAAAAAAGTTACCTTTAAAGGTGTTGAAAGTGCATCATTAAAAAGTTGGCGGTGCCGTCACAGTGCCAGATTGTAAAATCGGCAGTTTGAGGAAATTATTAATGGTCGCGTCTGCATTTTGGTACGTGGGCCCTATTTTCCCTGGTGACTTAACGGCAGCATGTTCAGTGCGTTGGTTTAGCTGTGGGATTCACCTCCTGCCTGCTTTAACACAGTGGAAAAGTAGCTCTTGTATGAGGAAGAGTTTGTGACACGTCTGGATGCTGATGAGTAACTGCGTGTACTCACCAGGTCTGCACAGCAGCGTTGCTTCCTGGAACAACAGAGCTGGTCTCCATAGGCAGCTGCTGTCTGACAGGGGCTCAGGACTGTTTGAGACCTTTTTGGACCCCACTCGGCTCCAGCTGCTGTCTCTGCAGCCCTTATTCAAGTGGAAGCTGCTTTTGGTGCTTTGCTTTTTCTGTGTCCTTGCTTGTCTGTGTTTGCTGGAAGAGTTGTACATTCTTGTGTTGTGATTCTTTGTGTGGTGTTGGTCACCAAGTGCCTTCTGGGTGCCTGCAGTTTTTAGTCTGGGATGCTCTGTATGCAAGTCGTATGTTGTGTATTTGTGTTGAGAGGTGCTGAGGTGTTAGCATCTTTTGGTTCCCCCACACTTGTTGGGGGTGTAGAGGCCCTTTATATCTTCAGGACTGAAATCTCAGCTCATCCTCTAATCATAGGAACATAGGATTGCTCAGTTTGGAAAAGACCTTAAAGATTATCAAGTCCAGCCACAACCTAACCATACTACCCTAACTAACAACGCTCCACTAAACCATGTCCCTGAGCACCACATCCAAATGGTTTTTAAAACAAATCCGGGGGTGGTGACTCAACCACCTCCCTGGGGAGCCTATTCCAGTGCTTAACAACCCTTTCTGTAAAGTTTTTTCTGATACCAAGGCTAAACTTACCCTGGTGCAACTTGAGGCCATTTCCCCTCATCCTGTCACCAGTGAGAACAGACCAACCGTGCTCTCGCTGCAATCACCTTTCAATAACCAATAAGGTCTCCCCTCAGCCTCCTCTTCCCCAAACTAAACTGCCCTAATTCCTTCAGTCTCTCCTCATAGGGTGTATTCTCCAAGCCTTTCACAAGCTTCATTGCCCTTCAGGCTGCTGGGTTTTGCAAAATGTTGTGACGTTCCCAATGAACTGAAAATATGCTGGGATGAAGATGTGCAAAGGATGTATAGGTCTCCTAATAACTTTGTTAAAAATTGTGTTTTGTGTTTTAGACCACAATGAACGTGGAACATGAAATTAGCCTCTTAGTTGAGGAGATTCGGCGGCTGGGGACCAAAAGTAAGCATTGTAATGTCTCTACTCATACAGATACAGTCATGTTATACCATCCTATGGACCTGGCAAATTTAACTAAACGGGCTCAGATAATGTGTCCCATGTATGTTTAGTATGGGATTGCAAGGTATTCCCTATGACCCACATGTGTTTGGAGCAGAGAGGAAGCAGGCCTGAAGTCCTGCCCCCAATAAAATCGACAGCCAAATTACCTTTTAAGTCCCAACGTACTTGCTACGACTGTCAAATAAACAGCACCATTACCTTTCACATCCTTCCATGGTAACTTCTGAATTTCACAAGTCATATTCTTCAATTCATCACTGTTGGAAGGAATTCATCCATGTGCCTAAACCTCTAATTAGGAGGTATAGTCCCAGCCTTTGCTTGGATTTGCTTAGAATGTGGACTTCTCTCTTAAGATGGCTCTTCATTGTTAAAACTCCACTTTCTTTACAAATACTTACCCCATTTGTGGGGGTGGGACCGGCTCATATATTTTAGTTCTGATGCAGTTTCTTTTGTTTTGCAAAACTTGATACATACCTCTTGCATGTTTAAGAATAACTTATCTAACATTAGCATATATTTTAAAATTACTGTTTAAACAAGAACTTTCTAGCATTTTAAACATTCCAAAATATTTTGGTTCATTAAAACAGTCTTATTCTTTCTGCTTTGAAGAAGTGAAATAGCCTGGGTTAGTTGTAAGTTTCAGAAAGGCATCAATAAAAAATAAATATGCCAGATACATGGACGCCGATGCAAGCCTAAGAAAAAGAATAAGTCTTTGTCTACTACTTTATCTCTGGCTTTCATAGCGTGGTTCCCTTTATAAAGTCAAATCTCATGGAAGTGAAGTCAGAACCAGGTGCTGGCAGCTAGGAATCACTATGGGACTTACCTTCAGTACTCTGCCTATAACTTCTGTATCCTTGGGAATCTCTGAACTGAAGGAACATCTGCAAATGCTTTCATGTTTTGTCTTTGATTTAGATGCCGATGGACAAGTGAGCGTGAAATTTGGTGTGCTCTTCTCTGATGAAAAGTGTGCCAACCTCTTTGAAGCCCTAGTGGGAACTCTTAAGGCTGCAAAACGACGAAAGATTGTCACTTATCAAGGAGAGCTGCTTTTACAAGGTGTTCATGACAATGTTGATATCATGCTACTGCAAGACTGATGCAGTGTGCATTTCAGCAGTGTTAATTGTATTGTTGGAGACGGCGACTTCCAACATCCTCTGAATCAGACTGATCATTCTTATGTGTTTTGATGCATTTTGTATATCTTTATAGTTGAAAGGAAATTTTCCTATTTTGGAAGAACATTCCCTTTTGTGATTCTTCCTAAAACAGTACTGTACATGATCAAGGTAAAAAGATGCCAGTTCTTTTTATTTTTTTTTTTTTAAATCTCAGGTAATACTTTTTAATGGTGGTTATTTTCAACATATGAAGAATGGAACTGGTATTTTAATGTTTACAAATCAAAACGTGCCATGAAAGTAAAAAATAAAGGAACACACATCAGTTCATATAATTCTTATTAGTTGTTTCTCTCTCTTCTTATTTGAAGTGGAAATGAAAGCAAACAGAATTTCTGTAAGCAGCATGGTTAAGTGACATAAAACATGGCAGTGAGATAGAAATGATTTTACTGCATGATGCAGTCAAAGAATGCCCATTCTTTGGAGTGGGGAACAGCAATAAAAGCATTCTAAGAGCTGGATATGTAAGTCTGTTTTGTAAGTAGGGTCCTTCATAGCAACTGGATAAGAATAAATCAAGCACCGCTCTTGGAACGAAGCAAAAACCAGTAATGATTTGCTTCTGTGTGGAGATCGCAGTTTTACGTACCACACTGCTGAATCTCCTCAACAGAGTTTACTGTAACCACCAACCCTTCCTGTCCCTGTGATGCTTCTTCTCTTTGTGTAAGGAAAATTCAGTGCTGCGGCAACTCCTCCTTGCTTTTAGCTTCGTTAGAGCAGCTATAGTGAGGAATGAAGTTTTAAGGCAGCTGTAGAGCTGCTTCTGCTTGATGAGGAAAAGAGCACATAAACACATACTAAGCATGATCTATTTCTCCAGCTAGAGTTTCTAAATTCACAGCTTTTTAACTGTAGCTTTTGCTACCATCTCTACTTTTTTTTTTCACGGAGCTGTAAGAGACCAAGTTTTAGCTTTGTCATGTATCAGAGCTTATTCAGTGACCAAATTGTGCACAGAAAACCATGGGTGATACGTACCTCGTTCATCTCTGGCAGTGTAATACAGGGTTGTTTTTTGTGCCTTCCAGACTTGTGAAGGAGGTATGTGAGGAGTACCCTGAATTCTTTCATGCAGTGTTAGCCAGCAGTAGCACAGAGATTCTAGGCTGTGATTATTTCCTTCACAGAAATCTTATGTTACCTAAATCAGTCCAGGAGAGTGGGGAAAAGAAGCCATTTTGATTGTTTTCTAGCTTGCTGCAAGTTCTTACAAGCACGCAAAAATACTTCTTCAACTATAGAGAAGAAGTTGTTGCATGGGCCAAGCTAGCAGCATGCTGCTCTGAGCTGCCCATCCTCTGCTGAAAGATCAGTGAATTTCTTTAGTTGCTTTTTATATGTGCAAAATTGCTTACTTCATCTTGCTTCCAAGTGCGGGGATTGCATGCGTGGTTAGGGATTCCCCATGAAGCTGTATAAGCCCAGCTGCTGTCCCTTTCATTTCTGTTTGTTCTGCTTTGTGCAACAGGAAAACAGTTGAGATCCTGTTTGCAAATGGATCTGCTGCTGCTGCTGCCTTTGCCTGTGCTGGCCCCAGCATCTGGAGCGTGTGGGGAAACTGGAGCTGGCTGCGGTCAGAAGCAGCGCTGGCTGCCAGTATGGCTTGCTGGCCACAGCAGTTCTGTTTGCAGGGCTGTGTGTACAAGTGCATGCACTGCTGTGCCCCACTGGTGGGAAGGGGGATGGGGACCTGGCCCTCTGCGTTTGGGAGGATGTCAGGCTTGCCAGATAACCGCAGTTGTTTTTTTCATCTGCTTATATTTTCCCAGAAGCCTGAGTCATTCTCTGGCTTCGTGGGATGGGCAGAATATGCTGACAAAACTGAGTGTTTTGTGAAGTTTTGGGCTGTGAATTTTGGCACAGAGAATTCTAGCCTGCCTTAAGACACAGTTCTGTTTGCAACACCTCTTTAAGCACTGAAGAGACCTTAGTCTTGAAAGCTGAGGTACCACTGGATTCAAGGCTTAGGGTTGGGCTGGAGCTGAGACAGGATTATAAGGAGATTTTGTGTCTCATTCTGGAGATTTTGTGTGTCATTATTCTCTTAACAATGCTGATAAATGTTTTCAGTGCACCTGAGAACACTGAGTAGCAAGAGACAGAGGAACTTGGCAGTGGAACAACCTGGGACAACCTGAGGAAGCTGTGACTGTGTGCTGCCCAGAAGAGCCGAGGCTTGTGGTCCCTCTATTTCTGAAAGCAAAAGAAGAGCAGTGTGAACAGGTTTCCAAGAGATTGCCCTCACTGCAGCATGTAGTGTGTTTAGATGTCTCCAGAGCGTTTCTTCAGGCTCTGTGTAAGCACTCATGGCTTCATTTCTAATATTTCCAGGGAAAATCAAATGCTGAGATTGTTTCATGTGTGTGGGACTACACTTCCGTGAGGGAAGTAATTCCTACAGCCAATGGCCTGGACACAAGTTGTGGTTCCTGGAGCACTTGAGACATTAATAAAAAAGCCAAGTATGGGAAAGCTATTACCTATTTTTGTGAGCAATAGAAGGACCAGCAGTCCCTAGTGACAGGTGCGAGGGAAATTTGTAGGTCTTCCAGCAGCACTAGAGGTCGTATGCATTAATGCTAGGAAATTAGTTTATAAGTGGTTTAACTAATTCAGTCTCCTATCTATGTTAAAACCTAGGAGCGTTGTTTAGATGTGCTTCTGGCAAGTATAGCTGGTAGAATTGAAGATTTTACTACTGTGTTTCTTGAGCAGGGACAGTTGGAATAATTGTGGAGTGGAGTGTGTTTGCTGATCTCAGCTGTTTCCATGCAAAATTCAGTCTCTGGACACAAATGTGCCTTCCAAAGAAGTTTTGGATAAGCTGTGAAGTCTCTGAGACATGGGTTTGTGTAACCTCTGAGTGGTAACAACTTCAACCGTCGTCATTGTTTCTCATGTAAGCATAGTTTTTTTGCTGGGAATCTGAGCAAATGAAGGGTTGAAATGTATGCAATATTACATCTCCCATCCCTATTTCATGTTGGAATGAATGGTGAAACTGTGTATTGTTTTTGCTTATTTCTCATCTCCCCTCTGAAGCTTTTCTGGAGGTGTTCTTTCAGCTTGAAGGGATTTCTCTCAGTGACAGCAATGCCGCTTTTGCCATTCAGATCTGTGTAAAGCTGCTTGTCTTTGCTAAGTTTCTGTCACAAATAACACTTGAATGAAAGAAGAGTAGGAGGAGCAGGAAGATCTTGCATGCAAAAAAATGATTATATCATCACTGTTACTTACCAGCTTTATTTACATTCTTACTATGTTGGATGTTGAGAAGAAGGCTGAGGATCTTGAATCGCCCAGCTGCAACAAGTGGCTGTTAAGCAAGCTTGCACAATTGCAGAGCCCTTGTTAAGCCAATGCAGTGTGAACTGGTGAATGCCACAGGCCTGGCCGTACCACTCAGTATCAGAAGATCAACTAGTAATGATGTCTTTGTATCAGCTCTGTCTGGTATGAAAGAATAGTGCTAAGACTCAGGTCTATGCAGTGCAAAGTAAGACATGAGCAGTGTTGCCTGAAAATCCTGTCGGATTTATATGGTGTATGCCTGATGTGTAACAGGAATTGTGGTTTCAAGGACTCGAAGAAACAAGCAAAACCTTCAACATGCCTTTCTTTTGGAAACTGGCAAAGTCAATAAGGTTGAATGAAGGCAAAAGTGTGCATGTTCTTCTCAAGCAAGTATGGCATCTGTGTGCTCTGTAATGAAGGACTTTTTTTTCTGTTTGAGTGTAAGAAAGCAATTCATCGCAGTGTCAGCTACAAAAGGTAGACCTAAATAAGAACCAAAAAATTTGAAGGAAGTGAGCCTCCAGACCAAAAAAGGTTCGAATGTCTGTCAACTATTTGGATCAGCATGTTATCTGTCCATGATAAAAATGAGTTTGATAACCCAGTGACACATTTAAGGCTGAATATCTCTCAGAACAAAAGTCAGCATGGCATGTTTTGCAGCCCCAAAAGATGATGATACATGCCAAAATACTCTCCGTTCTTGCTTTCCTACAGACCAATCATTTTATTTTTTTTAACTTTGTGAACCATCTTCTAAGCTGATGACAAAGACGCAAATTCACCCCTTGGTGCATTTATTATGTACTGCAAACAAACAAGCAAACAAGCAAACAAAAAAACTGCAAAGACAAAGGAATAGTTTAATACTCTCAAATACATTGAAAAATGTTTGAATTGAAAACTTGTTGATGTTGGAGATGACGCTAAAACACAAAGATATATCTTTGCCCAAAGATACAATACCTGTGCCAACCTAGATCCTCTATGGTTTGATTTTCAAGGCAAGTTATCTTTTGCATTTTGATCTGAAATGGCGTTCTCAAGTAAAACCAGCAGCAGGCCAAAGAGTAGCTCCAGTACAATGATTTCAAAGAATTTGTATAGTCAGTACTTCCAAGTATCCCTTCATTTAAAAAAGGAGTCGTATGGGTTAGGTAAGGGGAAGGGTTTAACAGTGTCTCTATAAAGCCAGTGCATTTAAGATCTAGTTACGTAAACTACTCAATATGAAGCTGTTCTAATAAAGTTTTCCAGAGGGTGGCAGTTCAGTGTAGTTCTGCCTCTGAGTACAGCTTGAGCCCCAGATACAGAACAAATAAATATTTCAGTGGCTGAAGCTAGGTTCCTGGCAGATGCTTTGGATAAAGCACCAGAAAAAGTGTAGTCTTGTGATGCACCTGCAGATGTCATTGCAGATGATGCTTATCTTTGCCAAAACACCTGAAGAACTTTAGGAGGTCAAGCACCAGGCTGGTATCCATTGAGGGAGCAGTGCCACCTACACAGGCACCCCAGATTCTTGTCCTATAAGATCCTACATTCTTTCAGATAAATGCTTAGAGTCAGACCCAAGAGTTTTCACAAACACCACAGCATTATGTTCATGATATTACTCCTTTTCAAAGCTCATTGCTCTACAAACACTGTGTGCTGAAAGCTGTTTCTCCTGAGAGAACAATACTATATACCATATATCTGTAAATGCATATTATGCAAACATTTTCATACAACATGCATTCAAAAACTGAAGGGAAGCACTCAGTAAATGCAGTTAAGTTTCAACAGTGATATAGTGAGCTGTATTTACTGACCTAAATCTACCAAATGGTACAGAAGATTACTTTACAGGAATTTAAATGGCCTGGATGAAGGACTCAAATGTATGCTAGGTAAGTTTGCAGATGACGTTAAATTGAGGTGTTGACTGTCTCAAAGGTAGAGAGGCCTTGAAGAGATCTTCACAAATTGAAGG